GGGAATGGGGGGGATGGAGGTCTGCGCAAAGGAACAGTATTGTGAGTTGGACGGGCCTGCAGGGTTCCAGCCGTGTGTCCACTCCCTGTTAACCCTATGGCCCATTCCTCCAGCACTGCCCCGGGAATCATGTCTAGCTCGGTTCCGGGCATGAAGTACATGTCCAGAAGATCCTTGGCCCTTCCCTGTCCCACCAGTGCCTCTATATGGGGAGGGGGACCAACCTGTTCCAGTGGGCCTAGGTGGGCGCCCCCTCAGTCCCGGGCAAACTGGGACAGCCCGTCGCCCTGTATCTGGGCCGGGCTGTCTGCGGTCAGGTGGACTCAGGCTTACCCTGGTTTAAGAAGCCCCCTGGGGCACCGGGTAGCCAGGTTTCCCTGGACAGGGGGCAGGAAGGGGGCTGGCTCCGAGTGGAGTTCTGCATGAGGGTCGTTATCAAGTCTCGGGGCTCTTCCTCAGCAGGGCAAGTAGTGCAAGCCCCACTCTTTCCTAGACACGTGAGGAGCTCAGACTTTTGCATGGAGGAAAGTCAGTATTTGTGTTGGCACTTTCTCTTTCGTTATAGCTGGTTTTCGGCAGGTGAGTTAGCCACCTGGGGACTCAGACTGGATGGGGGCTGCATTTCTGGTGCTTCTGTACGCCAGGAAATGACGCTGTGCCCAGGAGTGAGAGGGCAAGTCTCCCCGTTCAGCAGCCGTCCCCCACACCCTTCCATGCGGGATGACCACATTCTGGGGAGTGCACAGTTGCTCCTAAAGAGGCTGCCCCTCTTTTTATTGATTTATTTTATCTCCTTTGCATTCTTTACTTCTCCTTCCCTTGCCTCCTCTTATTTCTTTCCTCTCTTCCTAGAAGACCTACATGGACTTTTTTTTTTTTTTTTTTAACTCACAAAGAATCTACCTTCCCTTCCTAGGCCTTCCTTTTCTTGCCTTTGTGTAGGTTTTCATACATGTTTACATGCAGGAATAAAGGCTGTGTGCTCCTGGGACATACTCATTTCTTAGATCAGACAACCAGGAGGGGATACTGGTGAAAGCGGGCCCTTGAGTTCACCTCCCCATGGCTGGCCACTGTTCAGTGGCTTCAGTCTCACAAGGAATCAAGAAAGATTTGTGGCGTTCAAGCGCGTTTCCACACAGACCCCGCTACGTGAAGGACAGGCGGGCCTTCTCAGGCTTTTTATGAATTTTCTGAGCCTCCCCCACACATTTGCTAATAAGGGGCAATTGAACGCCTCCCTCAACCACAGTCTACCTCTGCTGACTATATTTTTCTTGTCTTTTTCATTCCATTTAAAAAACTAAGTCGTTGTTTACTAGTCTTTCCAGGATCCGTGGGCTGGTGAGTCACCAGATTTTCTCACCTGCCAAAAAAGGATCCAAAAATAATTGCTCTTCCATTGCACTTGGCTTTTAGGTAACGACTGCAAACAAGGAAGCCTTGTGAGCCCTCCATTTAGTAAGAAACACTCTAGCCCATGGAAGAGAGAGACAGGAAGTTCTCAACACGAGCTCATCTGATCTCAGGAACATTCATAGAATCTGGAAGGGGTCCTACCTCTTCTTTAGTCTTTTTGGACAGAACCCGTAGCCAATCTCCGATCATACTGAGGACAGCTGCAAAGTAGGCAAGGCCAACAAGGATCCAAAACCACACTAGGGGCTTATACCACTCCCGGTAATTGATGCCAGCATTTCCCCCTGAAAACAACCAAACGTTACTGTAAGCAGGAGCTAGCATGCGGTCTTTGCAGAGCAAACATATTCTGGTCCATGTAGCCGAGATGTCATCCCATCACCATCTAATACTCAGCTGTTAGGCCTGCTGTATACAAGACGTGGGGAGGGTTGGAAGGCAAGGGAAAGATGTATCCTGTCTCTAAAGAAGCCTGACTTGTGGCTGAACCTCCTTTGATTCTTGACCACTAACCATAGTACCCATAACAAAAATGTCAGTGGCCAACTTGATCCACCTGTTCTCTCCCTGAGCTTGACAATGACTGACTTGAGCTACAGGACAACAGATCGGACCCAGCTGTCAATTTCTTCTTAAACTTCTTTAAATTTAATAAAAATAAAAAACATTAAATCACCCCAAGTTGTTTGGAATTCATGGGACCGTTTCCTTCTTAAGTGCACATGCATTTATTTACCAAGAGCTAAGTGTAAAATCAAACTTTCTGGCATTCCTGAGACTTTGATCCAAGCCATAGCGATTTAATGCTGAGGGCTGGTGCTTACATGATGCTAATCCAAAGGGTCAATTAGACTGAGTAATTAGAGCCACCACAACCATGCTAGAGCTAAAAGGGAACCTCTAAGGCCAGCTAGTCCAATCCCTTTGTTATAAATAGGGATTACAGAAAAAAATCCATCAAGCCAAATTGGCCTGTTGCCCGATTGCATTGAATGGCTGTTGCATTGAAAGGACTAGTCATTTGTTCCAAATAATAAGCCTATTTATTCTAGCCCTCCTGCAGGCACTGCCAGAGTTAACTATGCAAAATAGGTTCCTGAAGAAGTGAGGATGTTCCACGAAATAATTGCTGTCAGCCTTGTTCTCACTCTGTGAGACGTGTTGCCCAATGAACCAGGCAGGCGGCCATTTCTAAGACAGCAGACATTAGCAATGTATTGGTAATTATGCTATTACATGATGAGTGACGACTAGTTTTTCCCACTGGGTCATGGTTGTAACCTCATCTAGCACCACCGAGTCCATACTGAACTCTTATGGTATCAGTTATACTTTCCAAAGGCAGTGGGGCAGGCACTGTGGCCTGTGGCCTGTGGCCTGTGGCTCTTCTCAATGCAACCGAACCCACTTTTAAGAAAAAAATTTTCAACTATGGTTTACTTTCAATATTATTTTGTATTGGTTTCAGGTGTACAGCTTAGTGGTTAGACAGTCATATACTTTACAGTGTTCCCTTCAATATTTCCAGTACCCAACTGCAACTCATATACAGTTATTGCAATATGATTGACTGCATTCCCTATGCTGTACTTTACATTCCGGTGACTATTTTGTAACTACTAATTTGTTCTAAACCCCTTCACCTCTTTATCCCCAAACCCCCTCTGCTCTGGAACCCACTTTTCAATGTAGCCCACGAGGTATCAACAGCTGCTGCCATTTCTGAAAATTAGAATTCCGAACATTGCTAATGAGCTTCAGGGCAAGCCCCCCACGGTTTGGTTTAGCGGCCTTTGTTTTTTCCCTTTAGGAACCCCTTCTCCCCGGAAGCTTTCTCTAGGATGTTATTGGAGTTCCTGCAACATTAAGTAATTTTGAGGTTCATTTTGTTTCTGCGCTATGACAGAGAACTCTGCAGCTTTCTCCTCGGGGCTGTTATCGGAGAGCAAATATTTACCTTAGCTAGTCACCATCACCCAACGTGGACAGTCACTAGGGTGCGCTAGTGAGCAAGAAGTTAATCACCCTCTGCCTATTCCTTGATGAGCTGCTTGCCAGGAATCTGGAGCTCTCCCTGTACTCCCAGTCAGAGCTGTGAAATGCTATAATGTTGTCTGCTGTCCTAAACTGAGCCAGCTACCCAATAAACTAGCACTTAATCCTGTGTGATGATTGGTGTTCCCGGTTATATTTCTAGTAGAATTGATACCGTGTTAAATCACAGCAACCATCAACTCTTGCTAATATACCTTTTTAAACTACCGGGCATCCTTCCCTCTGAGAGTATTGCCAAAAAGGTTGTGATTACCTTCCAGTCTTTTAAGGCACACATTCTTCGGACCAGTCTATGTGAGCCTGGAAACTGGAGAAGAGCCTGGGAATTATATAATTGCAGTCAGCACTGGGAATTATAAGAGATCCCTGTCTGTTAAGACCTCGGGACAAAGGAAATACAGCTCTGTAATGAGAGGTAAGTAAGGGAAATGAAACAGTGCCAAGCCTGTGACTGTGGAGGTCACGCCCTTACCAGGTAAGTAAAGATAAGTGCTGGGATGTGCTGAGTGCTCACAGTCCATGGAGCCCAATGCAAATAAAGAAAAATCATAATTTTTTAATGCTCACATTCCCAGAGCTCTGCTACTTGTGGCCCAGATGAACAGACTGAATTGAGCAGTATTTGAGCAGGAGTCTTCAGAGGTGTCCTCTAACAGGCAGTCTCTCGGACAGCCCAGGGCTGGCACAAAGTGCTCTGAGGCCTGGCCAGTGCGAACCATGCTTGGGGGGAACTTAAAGATGTTTATGAAATGGTTCTAAGCTCCAGCTGCCACTGCAGCCTTCACTGGAACCTCAACGGAGTTTCCCCACAGACTAGCTCCGGATGATGCTAAGGAATTAACTGGACAATTGCTACTCTTACTTTTCTCTGTGGTTTCTCCCCAGAGCTTCAGGCCCCTAGTCAGATGGCGCCAGGTGAATTGTCCCCCAAGGTGAGGAGCTGCACAGTGGCTGAGCACTGTGCATAAGGAAAGACTGGTGGGCTCCCAGGCTTTTAGAAACAGTGTTTAATCACTTTGACCTTGCAATTATTACTAGTCCTTAGTCAACAGAAAGGAAGAAAAATTAAAACTACTCTTTCTACAATGTGGACATCAATCTTCACCTGTCCGCTTGCTGGTTATCTGTATCAGATGACCACTGTGCTGGTTATCTGTATCGTGCCTGTTGAAAAGCCTCCACGGTGACCTCCAGAGCCTCCTGCTTCCCAGATTCCCAGGGACCAGGTCCCTGTCCTCCTGTGCACCACACTCCATGGAGAGGCCAAGGCGCAGCCAGGATCCAATGCCCGATGAAGGACAGCTGGCCTGGGAGTGCGGCCTGCAAATGTCCAGGCAGCTGCTTCACTGGGAACTGGGCAAGGCCACGCACACCACGCAAACACCGAACTTACGATGGAGGTGTTTAATCAAAGCGCTCACACTCACTTCTTGGGGTGAAAGAGGATCAGTGGGTAGTCTGACCTTCTGGAGCTGTCCCATGAGAAGGGAAAGGGTGGCTCCTGCTCCCGCCTTCCTCCCACACGCTGGGAAAGCGATACGTGTAAGAAGCCAGATCCCACTTCACTGTCAGCTCCCTGGCCCTAATGCAAGGGGTGGTGGTTTTCTTTTGCTTCCATAAACCCTCATTGGTATTTACTTTCACAGTGAAGGCTACTGCTTCTACATACATCCACGCAGTAGCCACTGTACTATGTTCCCTCAGGGGCCAATCCTAAACCTTGTGGGCTGGCACGCCCAGTACGACTTTTGCAGGGACAATGGCCCTCACCTCAGGAGGCAGTAGGAAGCTTAAACTGCAGATCACTGCAGGCTAAACTCTGTGCTAATCTCTTCAGGCTTTCACATTTGCTACTTGCCAATACAGTATCAACTGATTCAAGGAGCCTTAATACAATTCAGAAGTCCAAAATTCAACGAGAAATTCATTTCACTCATGCATAATTCATGTGACGATAAGGGCGATAAACATCCTGGGAGGAAGAGGCTGGCTTTCCTCTCTCAGCAGGAGCCTGTGCTGCTTAGATCACAGAGGAACCATGGGCTTGAAATGAGCCTCCCCCGCCCCTACAGTAGCAGGGGGCTGGGCCTTTTTCACTTGCTTCTCCCACAACTCATTTTCCCATGGTTTTTGGAAAACACTGCCAACAGCATATTTCCACCACCCACAGGGACCCTGGGTGAGAATCTGATGAAAGCCATGACCTTCCCCTAGATGCCCAAGGTGCTCACCTGCCACAAAGTCACCAAAGCCCACCGTGGTGAGGGTGACCACCACAAAGTAGATGGACTCCAAGGCTGTCCACCCCTCGATGTATTTGAAAATGACGGCGGGGATTGTCACGAACACAATGCAGCCGGCCAGGATGAACAGGATGGTGGAGATGACCCGGATCTTGGTCTGACTCACTTGCTTTTTCTAGGAAGAGCAAAGGGGAAAGACAAGTCAGTTTCATGGCCCCGGAGCCAGGAGACAGAGATACAGAAGAAAATGTACTATGTTAGTGGTTTTTTTTAAAAATTGAATTTAGTGGGGTGACATTGGTTAATAAAATTATATAGGTTTCAGGGGTACAATTCTATAAAATATCATCTGTTTATCGCATTGTGTGTTCACCACAAGTCTTCCATCACCATTTACCCCCCTTTACCCTCTCCTACCTCCCCCGCCCCCTTTCCCTCTGGTTATCACCAGACAGTTATCTGTGTCCATGAGTTTTTCTTCTGTTTCTGCTTAATCCCTTCACCTTTTTCACCCAGCCCCACACCGCCCCTCCCCTCTGACAGCTGCCAGTCTGTTCTCTATGAGTCTGTTTCTATTTTGTTAGTCAGTCCTACCCTCTGCAGCAGCACGGATGGACCTGGAGAGCATTATGCTAAGTGCAATGAGCCTGTCAGAGAAAGACAAGCACCATATGATCTCACTCATATGTGGAATCTAACGAACACAATTGTCAGTGGCTTTTCACCTCCCTTTGGCCATGGGCAGGCAGCTTTGTGAGAATCTGATGAAAGCCATGACCTTCCCTAGGAAAACGCACATGCAGATGTTTTCAGGTGTTCTGGGTGGTTCTCAGGCCCCAGGAAGCCTGTTCATAGACCCGGTCAAGGAACCCTGCTTGGCTCACGCCTCCTCGACTGTCCTCTGCGTGGCTCATGAGTGCAGCCCAGACGCTGATCTACCTCCCTCACCAGTGCAAACAGTGATCTCCCAAGGAGGGCTTGCTATTGGGGTGAAGGAATCGCACCAGCGGAGGCCAGAGGTGGAGCTCCGTCCACAGTGCTGGCGATGGGGTTCTACCTGGTCTGGTGCTGGTCAGAAATATGGCTGACCTGAAACAGGCCAGAATGTTTGGCTGAAAAGAAGAAACACAGCCACCCCCATCCACGTTGGTGACAGACTCCAGGCAGGTATCTGTGTGCTCCCTCACCCTCCTTGCCCTGCTTGAGGTTGGACACGTACAACACACTTTTCCTTTAAACACACGTGTCTGAGCTGGTGCCACGGTCATCGTGTTTGTTGCTGTTTTACCCACAAGGGCCAGGATGGGGGTTGAAGTCACAATGGCAGGGTCACTGTCTAAAATGCGTAGCAGGCACGTCAGCTCACATCAGCGTCCGTAGGAGTCAACGGTGAAGAGGTAAAAATGCGTTTGGAATGGGAATGACGCTGCTGTTGGGGTAAAGGGGTCACACCAGCGCAGGCCGGGGGTGGACGGCAAGCGTCAGTGCACCCCTCGCATGCACTCCAGACCACCGTGGCACTCCCTGAACACTGAATGATCCCGAAGGTCTCGGAGCTCCCAGAACTGGCACCGGAGATTGTCTTCAGGAGACCCTAGTACAGTAACCTCACCGAAAGAATATGCTATCATAAATATATCTTCAACAGGAGAATGCCTGGGCCTTTCTATACTGCCTAGATCGATTTTCTGCAAAAGCACAGCACATTTAGGACAATCGATGCAGGAAATCCTTGCCACGTGATCTATTTTCTAGCCACTGCCTTCTAGTGAATTAGAAGGCAGGTGACCTCCCAGTGCAGAGAGACCTTTACATTCAGACACCTCATTGACAGATGCAAGAACAGAAGCCAAAAGGGGTTAAGGGACTTGCCTAAAACACTGCTGCTAATTAAGGGCAGAGCCGAGAATAGAATTCTGATGTGATTAAGTCTCTGTTCCAGGGAGTAATGAAAAGAGTCCAGAAAAGGCTTTTCAAGTTAACCAACAATTCACCAGCTCAAACGAAGTTGCCAGAGTCCTCTCCTAACAAAAGAAACCAGACTGACCTCCACGAGGAAGAGGCCGCCCCTTTTCCCGTCTGGGAAGGGAGACTGGGATAAAAAGTTGTCACTGGACCGTCTATCCAGGGATTCGGAAGCGCCAGTCACAGCAGGGACACCTGGGCCAGGTTTCCCAGGACAGAAGTGATCAAGAGAGAGTCTCCTGCGATCAGCCATGAGGCTGCGCCAAAGAAATGCTAGCCAAGGAAACCACGAGGTCTCAGAGAGGGGGGTTGATGACGATTCTGTTTCCCTTCCTCCCACCCCACCCCCCTTCGTCCCCGTCCACTGGTGCTGCCTCTCACTGGAAAGCTCCAGGGAACAAGAGCTGAAAAGGGGGAAAAAGCAGCTCTCCCCTGCGATCAAGCCTCAAAGCCACTCAGTCCCCCCGACGGGCCCCGAGTCCCGGGTGCAGTCAACATGGAGAATGGAGAGGACAGCGAGATGAACAATAGTTACAGTGGAGAACGTTTATCCGCGCACATCTGCATGAGCACTCTTTACGCCCCGCGTCCTGGATCGATATGTTCCCTACACGTGCGTAGGAAAAGCTAAAAGCTACCATCCTTCTTTATAAAAAGAAGTCACGTGCTCTAACTCCCCAGAGGACACTCGGGATATAAAGTGGGAACAGGGAGCAGTAATTTGATTCGTGCTCTTATAGAGCATCTCCTCAGAGAAGCCATCTGAAAAAAAACCACCCCAGGCATTTTATCGATACTTTTGAAAATGCATATGAAATACCATTTTTCTCACAAATAAAAGTATCATGTCAAGATAAATGACCTGAGAACCCCGGGGAATGTTTTACCCGTTCATGAATTTCCATATTGGCTACTAAAAGAGGCCTTTGTGGGAGCAGCTGAGCCGCTCTGAGAATCCAGGAACCTAGTTATCGTTAGCTTAGTTTTGTTTGCAAGCATGTGCAAAAAATATCCAGAGCCCCAAAGCAGATCTTACCAGATCATTAGGTTAACTAACTGCTGGCAATGGGAACATCATTCCCCACCCCACCTATAAATTGTCCTCCTCAAACACATAATGCAATTAAAGTGAATTAAATGTTTGTGAGACACTTAAGTCATAAATTAGGCTGTGGATGCAACTGCAGACGAAACGAGGTCGAGGTTGGCGAAGGAGGGCTGAAAGTCCGGGGGAAGCCGAGGACACTCCAGGCTCCAGGCGGCGGGTAGAGGGAAGGTGGCCCGGGACAGGATTTGTGGCAGAGGGGGAGGGGTGTAACAAAACCTAGACCCTGGTGCCATAATTGTATTATCTGTTGGATAGTTTCTCAGCCAGGTAAGCGTGTCTGCACCCCTCACTGTCCCAGCCAACCAGTGTGTCCCTGGGCTGCTCCCTCAGACATCTGGGGGTGGTGCTCAGAGGCGGCTTGGAGAATTTGATCACTGGGGTATTTTAGGGATTTAAGAAATCAAGTGTCTTGTGTGTGTGTGTGTTAACCTATGAAAGGAAGAGGTATGAGTGTAAGATTTTAGCTATATCTGTTTTTTTCTGGATGTTTTTGCTGCCTTTTAGATATTAAAAAAAAAGTTGCCTTATTTGAACATTTGAAACTGTAGCTTTCAAGATAGAGCCACAAATTATCTTATACTTTGGGCTTCTTAGTCTGGTTAGCCCTGCACCTGTTCACACTACTGTAAGACGGTGTTTAAACCAGAAGTCCAGGGGCAGACTGTCTGCCTGAGACACATTCCATCCCCACTGCTAAATAGCTGATTGACCTCAGNGACGGTGTTTAAACCAGAAGTCCAGGGGCAGACTCTGCCTGCCTGAGACACATTCCATCCCCACTGCTAAATAGCTGATTGACCTCAGGCAACTGACTCAACTTCTCTGTGCATGTTTCTTCCTCTATAAAGTGGATATAAGAGAAGCCGCCTCATAGGACTGTTTGGAAGATTACATAAGTGTGTCAAAGCTTAGCACAGTGCCTGCTNCTGTTTCTTCCTCTATAAAGTGGAGATAAGAGAAGCCGCCTCATAGGACTGTTTGGAAGATTACATAAGTGTGTCAAAGCTTAGCACAGTGCCTGCTAAGTGCTCAATGATTGTTAACGACCATTTTTGATGTAAAAGTTCAAGTATTTCCTTTGATGTGGACCGTCCCAGACTTGACACTGCCCTTTGCTATGGAGGAATGTTTCCTTATGGCTGGCTTAACATAATCTTTGTTTAGCTTCAGGAGGTAACTGTTGGTTTTCCCTTCCTGGATACATTTTCTCATATGATTACCTCATTTTTGATAAGAGAAAAAAATCTTCATGGGTTCTTCCATGCTGACTCCGGAGTGAGCTGCCGGGTGGTCTTAGCTCACAACCTTGAAAGCTTTTTTTATTTGCCTTTCAATTAATTTCCTCCTAGTTCTTGATCACTGCCGAGAATCGCAGATAATGTCTGTGATGTCAGAAACCAGCTGCAGAGGGACCCTGGGGGGGGGCTGGTTTTCCTTGCCCCCCCACCCCCTCACCACGCAGGGAACCGAGCTGTGTCTCCGCGGCGGGGTTGCCAGGCGAAATCTCAGTGCTTATTTACCAGCAAGCGGAGCAGCTGGCGCAAAGCTTCAGGCGAGCCCGGATCTGTGTTCCCGCACTGCAAAAACTGTGATCCCAGAAGAGATGGCTTGATATAATATCTGAGTGGAAGTGATAGATTGTTGCGCGTATTTGTCCAAATCTTGTTTTCCCACTTTGTTGATTAGAGTAGATAATGTTTTCTTGCCTTCTCCTTGTGCAAATAGTAATTATGCAAAACTATTTCCTGCGTTCCATGGACATTAACTGTTGGAAGTTTTGAAGGATTCAGAACCCACCGCCTGCGGAGTTTTTTTTTTTTTTTTTAAATATATTTTTTTTGATTTCAGAGAGAGGAAANTGCCTGCGGAGTTTTTTTTTTTTTTTTTAAATATATCTTTATTGATTTCGGAGAGAGGAAAGGAGAGGAAGAGAGAGAGACAGAAACATCAATGATGAGAGAGTCATTGATCGGCTGCCCAGCCTGCAACCCGGGCATGTGCCCTGACCGGGAATCAAACCCCGATCGCCTGGATCCCAGGTCGATGCTCAACCGCTGAGCCACACCTGGCCGGGCTGCGGAGTTCCTTTAATGGTCAGATTA